TTCCTGACCATTTATTTCTGGGTTTTTTTAAACTCAGTAATTTAATAAAACAAACTTCTGTTTTGAAATGTTTTGATGGTCTTTGTACATTCATCCAGTCAACTGTACAGGCAAGGTGTTTAATTTGACTGGTTCTGTCCATCATGGCCTTCAGCCTCTGCTTGCTCTATCATTTATTCAAAGACAGGGAGTCACACTTACGGATTCTAAACTGATGCAGGTGAGAATACCTCAGTGCCAGCCTGCATATAATCCTTATCAGCTCATACCAGTACTACCCCTCTTCTGGAGCAGCAGCATTCTCAGACATTACTGTCAGATCTCACTGTCCCGAGAAGTTAACAGAGTGTGTGCAGGAGGGAAAACTTTAAAGAGAGGGATATGCAGGCAAAATAAATAGAATAATAATTTAGGTGACCCTGTATGTTTTGTGGTATTTTGTAAACCAGGTAAATTTCATCTGGACATATTTAGATTTGAACGTATATAACCTATTCGTGGTTTTTGTTTGTTTCTGGTGCTTGATGTACAGAAATATTTAAATAAAATGTAAGATATGTACTATATTCAGTGCTTAAATCTTTCTTTGATGCCTGTACTTTGCTAACCTTTAGTGGAAATAGCTGCAGTATTGCTTCCTTATGAGACAAATCAGTTATATCTTTCCACTTCACGTATTACAGTCATACCTGCTTATTGTGCTATAGTTAATATGTGAAACTTGCCAGAATAAACCCATTTTTTCAGGGGTTTATAGAACAGTAGTAAAAGTCACTCTAAACCGTAACTTGGCAAATAGGAAATCTGGCAAAGATCATATTTTTAAATTATACTTTCAGCAATCCTCCTGGTAGTTTTTATACTTTTTTCCAGGAAAGCGTATATCTTTTACTTAACAGTGGCTGTGCCAGCATCAAGAACTCAGGCTTCAAAGGGGCTGAAAAGATGGTTTAGACATTCTAGATATAATTTTACTGCATTCCTGTAATTTAAAAACAGATTTTTTAAAACCCTAATAAACATTGCAGCTGACCACTTGCATGGAGCCTCATTACTTTGAGTGTTTTCAGGCTAAATTATATGGCCAAGATACTGAGATTTAAAGTATGTTTACAATACCCATGACAAGGGTTTTTCTATATTAGAATGGGATTGAGTTCCGACAAGCCATTTAATCAGTCTGTAACTGACTCAAGATATCTGGGGTGAAATTATAACTAACCAAAAGGGAAATATGTCCATGACTTTCCATTGTCTGATCCTGTATCTTTTTCCAATTCATTACAATTATTTATTCTCCCCTCCCCCCCGAAAAAAAGCCCCGATTTTTGCATTCCTTGTGGATCCAAAGCTGCCATTGGCTTCAGGGAGAGATTTCGGTATTCAGGGAAGGCAGATTCAAGTCCAGAGATGCTTTAAAATAGGACATAAAAAAAAAAAGAAATCTTGTAAAACTCTTATCAGTGGTTATCAGTTTGGAATCAGGGGATTTGTGATGGGATAGAGAGCATTTAATTCACCTATTAAAATCCCTGCAGTAGCTTCCTGTAACCTTTCTCATCCAGGTCATGTTCATGGTCTCCAATTTTAGGACTATGAACAGGTCTGCCCCTGCATGTACCTCTCTTCTCATTTCTTTTTGCTTCACCCCAAGCTTTCTTACCTGCTCCCTTTATTTTTTCCTCTCCCTCTATGTTTTGAAGAGTTTTCCATTTTTATCGGCCAAACAACTCTTCATACAGTCCCTTGATAACACATCCTACATCTTTGAAGGCTTTCAGTAATAATCAGTCCATCAAAGTCAGATTTTTGTGCACCATTTTGAGATTAGACCTCATTGGTCAGCTAGTGTATTATATATCCTGACTATACTGTCTATTTTAAATGCAAGCCCTGTACATGCCAACAGTGCTCAGAAATAAATTTCACAAAACCTACCATCGTTAACACTAACTTGCACTTTTATTAGCTTTCTTAACACTGAGGCCAAGTATTGAATGGACACAGAAACTGACCTATCCTCTCACCTCTCTTCAAAATGGTCTTAAGTGGACTCCTACTACTACACACTGATGGGGCAATGTGAGGAAGCTTGCCCATTCTATACCTGTTATGTGGATAAAGAGAATCTTTCCCTCCTACAGCTGTCACTCCAGCATCATTCATCAACACTAAACTCACATACGCAGATTTAAAACTAAAAAGAAAAAAGGTCGGGTTCAGCTTTCTGAAGGATTACATATAGGTGAGTATTTGACTAATTCTGCAGTATCTTTGACCAAATTCAGATTTATTTGGGACAGCCCCATAGAATATGTCCATTTACATACAACAGGCCATCACCAATACATGCATAACATGCGGATGTCAGGTGAATCAGAGTTTTACACTGCCGTGCTACTCAGTGTTTAACATTGCAGAAATCTTATCTTAATTTCCCTCTTGAAATGTACACATTTTTCTAGACATTCTTCCCTAATTTTTTGTGTTGAGGCCCTATTCATTTCCACATATTTAGTAACTATGAACAAGGGAATCCGAGGATAATTTTTGGAAGAAATGGTGAAATCTTCGTGATATTCCTCCTTTTGATTATCTGTCTTAGTGCTCTCTAGTTATGTCATTAGATTTTAGCCGTGCCATTAGGGGCCTATGAAGTTGAACATGGCATTGTGCCAAATGAATCTTTAATGCAAAAAGATGTAACATTTGAAGTGATTTATAAACGCAATATAAAGTGCCTCTGAAAATTAGGGTGTAAAAAAAAGTAGGTTATGTTAAATACCATAATCCTTCCTGTACTTGCCTGCATCCCCTGGTCCAGTTTCTGTTCTTGTTCAGTACAGGCACAATTCTAGTGAGTGAGGCATGTCAGAGACTTATGAAACAAATGAATGGAATGCCGAGATATGATTTGGGCAGTACAGTTGTCCACTATCGGAGACATTAATGCTCAAATGCTCTATATAGTTGTGTGGGTAAATATATCAACAATAAAATATCCTTAAGTCTGTGTTCCTTGTGCACTCAGTTTTCATAGTAGCAACAAAGAATTTGGAACAAGGCATTTTCCAGGGATTAATACCATCAAGGCATCGCTCAACTGCAGTTTGGACCACTGCTTCTTAATCCTCAGGAAATGCCCTGCAATTCATCTATCAGTGCTTGATTAGAAGGTTAGGAAATGCTCTATTGTTGTAAATATCCCTTACTGTTTTGAAGTGCTGGGAAACAGGTTTGTATACTCCAATCATGAAGCTCTGCAACACACAATTAGAGGTATCACATACAATTCTTTCAAACTCCAGAGCTTCCTCAAATAGAGAATTAATTTCCTAATATTTTGTGAACTGGTCATTTCCTGCTAAGGATGATGAAAAGTGTTGCACTGACATGGGTGAATCTGTCAAGTTTAAAAATGTCTCATCAAGGAGGCTCACATTGTGGTTTGTGTGACCTCGGCTCTCTGAGTTGAGGGGTGAAAACATTATCTACTATATGTTCGGGAACAGCTGGTGAGTCACTGTTGTCCTAGTCAGTTTTGGGAAATGATGCCAGAACCTTCGGTACTCCTTTTCAACATACCATAAAATGTTTCTCAGAACTGAATTGGTTTTTGCTTGTTTTAATATTGGTGATATATCTGCTTTTACATTTTACAGGGAAATCACAAGCTGTTTTATCAGTCTGACTGCACTGAACTAGAGAGTGGTGTGGCCAACCACCAGTGCCTTCAGTTGGATTGTCCCTAGGCTAAGCCAAAAGAGGCCCCAGTACCTTATCTTCTGACCCTTCATCTTAGCCACCAAGTTTTCTCTCTTATCTACCCTGCCAAACCTGGCACTCTCTTGCTTTGAAAACTTTCCTAACCCTCACCAAAATCATTGCTTCAGCCTTTTCTAAACCCAATTGCAATATATTTTAGTAATGTTTAACAGGGTATTTTGCTTTTGGATAACCCTGGTTTTGATTCATTAATAAAGGCTGGGGAGAAAGGATAGTCATTTCTATACACCTACGCAGTGGTTAGAGGAAATGTTAGTAGTAGCAAGGGTGGGAAAAGCAACAAATGTGTGAACGGGTCCTTTTATAGTTCTGTTTACAATGAATTAAACATTTTCCGTGAAAGGGAGTGTGTTTGAGAAGGCATTGCCTGCCAAGGCTTTGGTTATCTCAGCTGCAAACGGTGACTTACAAAATACTGAATATGATGTTCCATCTGCTTTATTATCTCTTTCCCTTTGGAAATCAATAATAATAAAACACCTTTTCTGTCTGTAAAAGTTCAGTAGTAGAATGGGAGATAAGCTTGAGGTTCCTCTGCATCCTGAATTGAGTGTCAGAATGCAAAGGGAACAAAAATGGGCTTCATATTGATAGTGGTTGACAACTTTAGGCCAAATTCCTGCTATAGAAGGGTTAAAATCCAGTGAAGTGAGTGGAGTTGCACCTGCCTAGAGTAGGTTTGAATCAAGACAAAAGGTGAATTGTCTGAAAAGAGTGCCATTTAATATTCCTGGCATATATGCCTTGAATGGAAACGTTAATCAAACCTTGGTGCTCAACTGTAGCAGCATCAGTCTACCTGCTTCCCTGATATTTTGTTCATCCGACTTACGTATACAGAAATGAAAGAGGAGTTTTAAAAATCTAAATGCAAAGCCATGTTAATTCACAAATACCTTAGAGTTGGTTCAATATGCAAGTTTATTGAGCAACTAAGCATCTATTCCAAATGTGGAGGAGTTTGCTTTTGTGATTCTGTTTAAACAAATGTCATGAATATTCCTATTACAGTGGAGTTCAAGTGATGTTTTCAAGGATGGGCCAGCATACAAACAGTTAAGGGGATACACCGCCTTTTGTTGAGGCAGTCTTGTCAGCGAAGTGAACTGCGTGGGTACTCTGCTTTTTGCTGAAACTGAATTTTATTACTGGAAAACGAGTGTCTTTCTGAATCCATGCTTTTATCTCCAACAAGAGATGGGTCAGACACGTGCTTATTTATTATGATATTAAATTTATTACAATAACAGTTTACAAGACAAGGCACATACTGATGACTTACAATCCAGCTTGGAACATTCATAACTAAACAACTGCATAAATTAATACAAGTGCATCATATACAAGTTAGAGGGAATATACAAATAAAACTCCAGTTTAATTCTCTTACTAAAGTCTGAAAGGTAAACGCACTCCCAGTTCACAAAGATAAAACTGGTTTTGGAAGTTCCCTTATCGCTGTTCATAGCAAGGTGTGCTATTTACTGGTGGCTCTAGTTATGTGGTAGGAAGAGCCAAGGAGTAGGAGAAGGAATCCATTTGCCTGAAATGCTTCCAAATCCAATGTAACCTGTGTCGCATAAGTAGAACTAAGGTGTAATGTTCCATGTCTAATACAGGTATCTACATCTACTTGTTGAGCTGAGGGACAGTTGTTGATTACTCATAAATGATTTAAGAAGGATGTGAAAAGAAAGTAAAGTATTAATAATGATAAAATAAATGAGGTCAGACAACGTGGCCTCAGTTTGCTTGTCTCTGAGCTAGCCAGAGATGATTCGACATGACTGATTTTCCTTACACACTGTTAGGAAACCAACCTGTGATAAGACTGGAGGATTTAAAAAACCTCAAACCAACCTGCAATTAAAAAGTTCACAGGAACTAAAGCAACTTGATGGCTCAGCTTTTAAAGAGTGAAATATAATGTGTATGGTATATCTGCATTACACTGAAAAAGAAAGGTCTGTGGATTTTAATATACTTTTGGAAGGCTTCCTGACTGCCCTGTTCCCAGAATGCACTAGGAAAACTTCAATATGGATTTTCCTTGTGACGAGCTCAGAATCATTTAAAATGATCTGTATTGTATTTACAGAATTGCTCAACTGAATTCTGAACCATGAACTCAACAGCAAATAAACTTCCATGAAGCAAAGTTTTCAACAGGCCAGTATTTACGTTCTGCTTCTTAAAGAACGTTTCATTTCCAGTCGTCAGCCTTCCATGGAAACCCAAGACTGTAAATGAGAACATGGTGCACTTCTGCAATTACATAACGCAGAATAGATAATAAATGCAAAGAAAACATTTCTCTCGGTTCCTTCCCCTGCTTATGGACTCATTCCCTTAAAACCCAGGACATTTGATCATTGTAGGGAGAGGAAAGGAAATGATTTAGAGGGTGTCCCTCCTGCATGTTTTTTTAAGATTGAATGCTCTTTAGTACAGGATCTATATTTTCATCTGTGCTTGGCAAGCACTGCGCACATTATGGGCAGTACTACCACATTCTAATTATAATTACACGTTGTGTGGGTTGAATGATAGAATTACTTAAGCTGATTGTGCTGTGTCCCAGTATTTTAATACTATGAGTCATATGGTTATCATCAATACGAAGGAACTTCCAGGAAGGAGAAGAAAAGTGATACCACTTCTGATTTGTCTTGTTATATGAAGTAAAATCCATCTCCCAGCTATCATATCTGAGTAGTTTCATGGGCTTTAGAAAGGGACCTACCTTATATCTAACCTTTTCCCTTCAGAAATCTGAATGTTCTCTTGACATTCTAGATATCCAGAATGTGCCTGTGTTACTCATTCCTCAGAAGGCATTAAAAGATTAAAAAGTAACTAAACCTGTCCCAACATTAGCCTACACCTTCTTTCCTTTAGATAGTGCATACAAGTACAATAGTTAGTCAGTGGTTCAACGACTCCAAGATGTGTTGGGAGTTAATTTTACCATGGTCTGGCAACCAAGTTAACCAGTTGTTTAATTGTGGAATTTGCCTTACAACAACTTGAAACTTTCTGATTAATAAGGCTTTTTAATGGGGAAGCTGATGCTTGTGTCCTAGGCCTTGATTCAGCAAAACACCTAGCATGAGCTCAACTTTAAGTTAGTGAGAAGTCTCTGGATGACTATTCGCATGCTTAAAGTCAGGCCCATATTTAAGTGCTTTGTGGAATCAGGGCCCTAGTTTGCTTCATCAGATTGCCAAGACAGTGGTTTCATGTTTAGGGATCTGATCCATCTCACAGTGAAGTCAATTATAACAATCCTATTGATTTCACTGGGAGTTGAATCAGGCTGCCAGTGTCTGGAGTATAATAAAGTATCAATAACCTCGTTAGTGGCAAGGGGCATGATCCCACACTGCCTAGCACCTTATGTAGTCATGTAAGCCCCTGCAAAAGAATGCCATTCTGATTTGGTAGCATTTTACATTCACTTTGTGCAAGCTGATATGATTATGCTGTGGGATCAGGTCCATATTTTTTGTAATTAAATTACACTAGTTTTCCTTCGAATTTGAAAAAGCAGTAAAGGAAACAGCTGATACTGTTGTTAGTGATTATAGGAACTTTTAAAAGACTTTTACTGGTTACTGGAGGAAAATTTCTAGAAGGGAGTAGGACTTCTTGAGTGGCTGTCAGCAAATAGTGTTCTAGGCCTGTCAGTAATGCTCAGCAAATTTACAGTTCAGCCCATCTGCCTTTTACAGCATATAAAATGTGTAACACTAATTATGAACTATAATCTATAGTTCTAGAAAATTACCTCCTAGTACTTTGCATGTCTACAGTGCTTTTCACCTTCAAAGTGTGGTAAAAGGCATCAGTCCTCACAGAACTCCAGTGAAACAGTCAAGCAGGCTTATCTTAATTTTTCATCTGGGAAACTGAGTCTGAGAAAACAAATGACTTGCCCAAGGTTACACAGTGGGTCAGTGGCCTTGTTTTTAAACTCCAGACTTCCTGGTTGTCTCCTAGTCCTCTAGAAAACACTGGTATTTCTGGGGCAATGAATCAATTTTCTATGCTGTAACCACCCAGAAAGTCAGATTGTTGTGTATTATTGTCTAAATAATGCAAGTGAAGATTTTTTTTTATTTTGCAAATTGCAGTTACATCTATAAAGCTGTAACATGGCACCATAATGTTACTGCTGAAGAGTCCCAGTACTCTTCCACCTCCCACTAAAAAGCAGAGACTTCTGCCGTTATTACTCTGCAAAATTATTATTCCACCAGAACTCATCCTGAGTTTCAATTTCTGCACAAGGGCTTGGGAAGAAAACTTTGGTTTCAATGAAGATAATACTCTTTCTGAACCTAGCCACCCCCATCTCCTTCCTGACAGAAGACAGCCAAATGTCTGTTGAAGGAGTGTTTGCAACTGGATTTACTGAAAGTTAGAAAGTAGAGATGGAAAAATCCCTTTTTAAACAGTGCTGTTTGGGCTGGGGAAAGCTGTCATTGAATGAGCCTAGCAAGGAACAGGAAAGCTATTGGCTCAGGCAACAATTCAGTTTAGAATATGTATCCATTTAAAAAAAACAAACAAACACTTCACAGTTCTGGTATTGGCTGGACACAAATTAGGGAGAATAGAGAAGATATAGTCAGACTTCTTCCTTCCCAAATTAGATGCTGGGAATATGTAATTATCCTGCTTGCCCCCACCCTGTCACTTCATATGTATATTTTCAGCAATAAACTTAAGACAGAAAAGTTGAACTTTTGACAATTTATCAAATGGTTTCTAATTTTCTGGTTTGTCAGTTTTCATTTTGAATATTAAATTGCTGATGTTTTTATACATTTTATAAAATAGCCCATGACATATTTTAAATAACTTTTCTTCAAATCCTGCAGATATGCTATGTGTGTGTCCCCTCAAAATTAAGTCCATTTTAGAAGCTGTTTTTAAATATACATGAGGGGTAAATTGCTAAGTTACTCCTTGCAAGTCATCATCCAGTGAGACATGGATTCATTTTATCTTTCTCATGACACTATGAGACATTATTCCCTTTAGAAATGACTTGTGTGGTCCTAGTAAGCCTTTGTCAGCAGTTGAGACAGAATTAATCCGTCATCACTCTAAATTATTTCTGTGTAATGAGTTGGGCTAGAGACCTACAAGACAAGTGGTCTTAAGTCTATGGCTTAAGTGTAATAGACATTATTTGAAGTGGGTGTCTATATGCATAAGTAGAAAAGTCTTGTGAGAGAAGATGAAAATGGTATAGTATTCAAAAGGCAAAAACATCATGGTTGCACTCCTCTGTGCAAATGGTCTGTTCTTTGTAGTATGTTTCAGTGTAAGCTTTTTCTTTCAGAAGAAATTTCTTGATGCCTGCCTACATGAATTCTTGTATGGCAATCTCTTCATTTTTAACATAGGCAACTCATGATGTACAAGGAGATTTTATGTTCTATTTTAGCTTCAGTTGTGATAGGTTTCATAATAAAATTTGGCTTTAATGACAGGGTAATAGTATAACACATGTCTCCTTTACTTGCATGTTAAGTGCATAGGGTTAACTAAGCAATTTCCATATAACTGCGTAGTCATTCCATGGTCCTGAAATTCACTTGGCAAATGCAACTGAGTTCAAAAGTAATCATTGTTTAACCTACCCTCTGGCTTGACAGGCATAAGTACTTATAGACTATTATGAATTTAAATGTATGTAGGACTTAATTTGCAATTAAATACCTCAATTAAGTATATATCAACTTATTATTAGAATTCATCCTTGCAGAATTATACTCACCACTGGCCCAGAGTGAATAAAATAGCATTGTTTTTTCGTTATCTTTCTCTTCAGATAAAGACTGGATGAGCTGATTTAGTACATGAGCTAGTAAATTTTCATGACATTTTCTAAAAATTTTTAGACTTGATATTTGTGCCAACCAGTATAAAGTGTTCCCCTAAGCTTTAGTTTTGCAACAGGAAACAATAGGAAAAACCACAGTTTGATTCCCATAAAAAGCTGTAAAAGAAGTCTATGTAGCTCTGATGGTCCAACCTCTAGCATCTGACCTCCAAACAATTCACCACTGGGCTAGTTTCTAAAGGAATAAATAAGCTAAGTCTGTCTGTAAAAAGTCGTCATGAATATACAGCTAAAAGAGACAGGGAGATGGCACCAGAGTGTAGCAATTGCTAACAACTTAAACATTGGCCAGCTGACCTATGACCAAGAGCTGGATGGGCTGAGGGTTTTGTATAACTGGTACCAGAGGAGAATAGAGAAGAGGCTGAGCATTTTGTGAAGTCCCAAATTTTAAAAATCATTCTTTTGTGGAGTGCTTGTTATGCAAGAAATAACTAATGAAAACTGGTATGGTCCATAAAGTGCAAAAAAGTAAGTGGTATAAAGAAGGAAGGGGAATAATGCTACCAACTGTGTGTGCAACTGGACACAGTCTTCATACATAGTGCTTTTCAGGGTTGTTTCCTATATCTTTCTCTGCCTACTCCACAGCAAAACAAGGATATGAGGGTCCTATTATTTTTAAGCAATAAAATTCTGTATTACTCAGGCAATATATGGCTATCAGAACTATTTTCCTGTATTTTTCAACTCAGTTTAAGCAATGAGATCTTTAGAAGCAAATACAACATGGTCCAGTACAAATGATCACATTGAGAAAAATACAGGAGTACTGTCACAGATTTGAGATTCTAAATCTAATCCTAACGGATGATAGTCATCCTATAGTGGTTTATGCATTCTCTCCCATACAGACATCCTCATGTTTTCAGAATGAATCAGTTCAGTAGTGAACTCGTCTGGTTTGAAGTATGCAGCAGATTTTGTTGAAATGTTTGGATCTGTATGCTGGAGGTACCAATTTTCAGATGCACATTGCCGTTGTCTGGGCCTCCATGGAAAACACCCACCCATTCCTTGGCTCAGTGGAAACTCAATTCTTTGGAAAGGGGAATATGGAGGGTTGGGGAGCATGGGAAAAGTTAAACTTTTACACCTTTTCCCCTCCCCCCAAAAATGTTAACTAAACTGCATTCATGCGGATGTCCCCAAAGGGAATTTCTGTGGCTGTCTCCGGGGTAATGCTTTTTAGAATACGCTGTTGAGAAGAAAAAACATGTTAGATGAAAGTTGTGCAAATTTAGATTTCAGGTAGAACTTTGCAGTTACTTGAAAAGGGACACTGTAAAGGATTTAGCTTAAAGAAAAATCTGACCCACCTTTAGAAGAGACACACATTTACCTGCGTCACATGGGTGTAGTGAAACTTAGTTGGTTTGTACAGCACTTTAAAGATGTAAAGTGCTACAGAAGTACAAACTATTATATTTGTTAGTTGACATAAATGGTAGCATCCACGCTAACTTACAGAGCTGTTGCATTAATGCCTTCGGGATCATTTACTTAAATACTATCAACTTTATTGAGCATATCTCTTCTGAATGGATATTTACATATAAATAATTCAAGTTTCCAAAGTCCATCCCGGCTGGCTGTGGATCTTGTGTAAAATATGGAATGGATGGTTTTGGTGGTTGTGTATATTTCTATTTTGTTTTTGTGGTGGAGGAAGCAGGATGGTGTCTCTATATAGATTTAGGTGAAAACTAGTATTGCTTCCTCAGCCTATGGCTAGAGTTGACTGAACCTCTTTGGAATATATTGCTAGACCTCTATCGCCTAACCCAAGGTAGGCAACCTATGGCATGCATGCCAAAGGCGGCATGTGAGCTGATTTTCAGTGGCACACTCACTGCCTGGGTCCTGGTCACTGGTCCGGGGGGCTCTGCATTTTAATTTAATTTTAAATGAAGCTTTTTAAACATTTTAAAAACCTTATTTACTTTACATACAACAATAGTTTAGTTATATAGTATAGACTTATAGAAAGAGACCTTCTAAAAACGTTAAAATGTATCACTGGCACGCAAAACCTTAAATTAGAGTAAATAAATGAAGACTCGGTGCACCACTTCTGAAAGGTTGCCAACCCCTGTTCTAACCACAATAAAAATTTTCACCTTCTGTAGTGACCAGCAGAGATGCATATTTCCTGCTACTGCTGAAAGTCTGAGGACTTGTCTACATTTAAAACGCTGCAGCTGCACCACTGTAGCGCTTCAGTGAAGATGCTACGTACACCGACGGGAGGTCTTCTGCTGGTATAGGTACTCCACCTCTCCGAGGGGGGCTAGCTAGGTCGATGGGAGAATTCTCCCATCAACCTAGTTCTGTCTACACTGGGGGTTAGATCAGTGCAATTGTGTCGCTATCAGGTGTGGATTTTTCACACCCCTGAGCAAAATAGTTCTACTGATCTACTATCCTAGTGTAGACCAAACCTGAGAAAACCCTTTGTGGGCTGATTGTCAGAGCAAAGCAGTTCATATCTTCTACCATCCTCTGCCCCTTCCAAAACAGATTCAGAAGTAATCCATGCAAGGATCAGCCTTGTTGTGATTAAATCAGGGTAATTGGCGAAACACTCATCACACTGTACTACTACTGCTATCTTGCACATTTATAGTGCCTTTTATCCAAGATCTTAAAGCATTTCACCAATGTTTATTATTCCAGTCAAACACTAATTCTCAGCACTTAACCATCTTAAATATTCATTGACCAAAAAAACCTAACACAGAATGAAGGTTACAGTGGGATCATGTGCCCTTCCAGAACATTGAGTTCTGTAAAACTCAGACTTCTGAAAACCAGGCAATACAGAGTTAAGGTTCACGCCCACACAACTGTAGTCTGCGGCCCTGGAGCTGGCAGTAGTCCCTGGGAATTGCCTGGGTGCATTCCAGCTGCATTCGCTGTGTTAGGTATAGCAGTATTGAAAGGGGAGGGTTAGTTGGAGAGTTTGACAGAGCTGTGATTGTAATAGGAGACAATCCTGGGTCTTTGTGCCCCCTCTTGGTGTGTGTATGGCCCTTTTCCCTAACCCTCATGTGTGTAATCTGAGGAAAGAGGTCCATGTGTACCTTGAAAGATCCAGTGTGCCTTATTTAAGCTCTGTGTTATGTAGCAGTGGGCACATGGATCCTCTTACCAGGGGGATTCTCAGCATCTAGGTGGGAGATGTGTGCTCTGTGGGTTTAATGATGGGTAAGTGAAAGCATAGTGTGAGGTGGCATCATGTGCATAAGGGTGAAGAGGTTGTAAAATTTAGCAGATGGAGTCAGTGTTGGGCACGTGTAGGTAGTTCCTGTGGAGTACTGTGCAAAGAGAGCGTGTGAGCATGTGCTATGGGTGTACTGAGGCATTGCTCCGAGGAGAGGGAGTTAAGGTAGCGTGGGTGTGTACCTTAACTCTTCAGTTCCTGGTTTTCAGACAGTTTGAGTTTTGCTGAACTCGACGTTCAAGAAGGACACAAGATACCATTGGGCAACCTTAACTCTCCATTAGCGAAGTTTTTTGACAGTGAATTTCCTAGATTTTTTTTTAACAGAAATGTTAGTAGGAGTTAGTGGTCGTTTAGGCACTTTTAGTTATCATGCAGGTGTACAGCTGAGATGCAGTTGTGGCCAGGTAATGATGATAATGCCTTGCTCTTACATAGCACTTTTCATCAATAGGTCTCATAGCACTTTGCCAAGGAGGGAAACATCATTATCCCCATTGTACAGAAGGGGAAACTGAGTCACAGAGTAGTAAAGTGACATGGCCAAGGTCACTCAGCAAGCATGAGGCAGAGGTGGGAATAGAGCCCAGGTTTTCTGACTCCCAGTCCACTGTTCTCTCCATGATGTTGCTGTGTGATACCTAAGTGTGTGCCTCTCCCACTCCCCACCTTGTTACAGTGAAGTAGGGATAATGGTTGTGCTTTGAAATGTTTGGAGTTACTAAAAGCCCAGTGAGAGAGTCATCGGTGCCCCAAACTCAAGTTTTATGACACGAGGGGAACAGTAACTTTAAGTATGAGAGAAGATTGGTAGAGCTCTCTTGCTCCACTCTCCTCTGCCATCATCCCCCACAACATGTAGCCCACCCTCTGCCACCATTCCCACCTCACCCTCCCCTTCTTGTCCCAGTAAGCCACTAGCACTTCAGAAGCCAGGTGTGCACAAGGAAATGGGTAGAAATCTGTGAACTTTAAGAAAACCTGTTTGTTTCCGGGAGCTGTATCTTGGAAATCCTTTTCTCAACTATGGATCATTTACCCTTCCCCAGTACAGCACACAGCACATTTCAAGACACAGTGAGGAAGAACGAGGATTTTAGAGCACTTAAAAGAATTAACCTTTAAACAGAAACATCTTCACAATCTTAACAATGGCAGAACTGGACAGTTCTCCACTATAATATGGTATGAAATTAATAATCAGCAACTTGCTTTGCTATAGCCAGTTTCCCAGCACAGGCTGAACCTGAAAGCAGAGCAGGCTCTGAGAGGTGTGAAGTGGCCCATTCATCTCACGGGATGTTCTCAGAGGAATGAGAGGAGGGAGGCAAGGACAAGGGGCCCAGACCCCTTCTGTGTGACAGGGCCTCCCAGATTCCACATAGGGACTTCAGGCTCCTGTAGAGAGAGGCATCCTCAGAGGGAGAGGAGCTCAGACACCCCAAGAGGGTCAGGGTCCCCCTGTTCCTAGCACACACATGGGAAGAGAAGAATGTGAGGATGACAGGCACCCCTAATTCCTCCCACTTACCCTGCCACCCACCTCTGTCACCCCTCACACTTTCCCATCATCCCCATTCTCTCCCCCTGAGCTGAGTCCCGAAACCACTCCCCATTTATCTTCTCTGTATAACACCCTTGCCTCTCTGAAGACCCAAACCCTCGTCCCTTCCACTCCTCTGTCTCCTAAATCCCCTTCCTCTCCCAGCAATCCTTCACATGTGTAATTTCTTTTCTTTTTGAAATAGCACAAATGCCTTCTGAAGTTTCTGCTCTACTCGGATTACATTTCCCCAAAATAAAAACAAACACCCTTGGACAAAGGCAGTTTATAGCAACATGCCTAGGTTTCATTTCAGCTTTCTACCCTGGGTGGGGTTTGAACTGGGCGTTGCTCAGGTTCAAAGGCCGTAATGTCCCCTTGAGTCACACAGGTCCTGTGACTTATGCTTGGCTAGTAATTCTTTTGGGATTCTGTCCACATGTGCACAGTATAATCCATTGGCTTGTGAGTGTTAGCATGCGCCTGCCTAAAGAGCCGAACTCACTTTCAATTTTGCTCCTCCAAAAGGTTAGTGGGTCCCTGGCACTGTCTGCGGTAAATGTTGAGTGACTGAGACCCTTTGGGCTTGCAGAGCCATGGCTTGAGCCTTAGGTCTGAGCAAAAAAAGTTGATAGCATCTGTCAACCTTAAGAAAAGCTGATTTCCTGGGGACAGCTGTATCTCAGGAACTGCTTGCTCAAAAGACCCCAAATTTCAATCACTTAGCCTACCCCACATCCCCATGTGGCACAGATAATTTCAAGGCAATCTGTGCAACCGTGTGGATTTTAGAGCACTCAGAAGAGTTGTTCTTTAAACAGAAAGGAATTCTCAACCTTAATTATTTGCAGAGCTGGCTCTCTATCATACATAACCCACCGTTCCTTTGTATTAACAGCATGATTTAACTGTAAGAGAGGTATTTCTTACAGTGTTGACCCATACATCCAGCACCTGGCAAATATGGAAGCATCATTTACAGACCATCTTTTTTGTCTAAAGTACCTATGCAGTATTTCCCACCTCTTCTTTTGTATGGCTGGGTAGTGGAGTGGGAAGTACATCCCATCAAAAATGAACTTGAACAAATAAAACACATCAGATACCTCTTTAAATGTTCCTGGAGTGATTATCAACCGATAAGCCATGTAGATTGGAATGCAGATAACAGAGGAGGTTCCTATGCAGTAACCCACTATAGTGGTCCAGTAGGGATAGTTATAATCAAAAAGCCGTAGATCAGGAGGGCTGGACATAAAACTGCAAATGATGAACTGAAATAAAAATGCAACAAAATATTACAAATACACAATGTTTTTACATAGCACGTAATTAGCCTTTGGGATCAACTGCTGCAATAAATCATTGAGACCAAAAGCATAGCAGGATTCAAAAAAGGATTAAGCACTTATATGAATAATGAGAAAATCCACAGTTACATTAGAAAGGATGTAAACCCTCATGCTTAGGTCATAAGCCACCTTAGCTGATAAGAAAATTCCTCTTATGGACAATTTATTCCATAATGACCTGGATATTCTTGAATCCAAACAGAGCGACAGGATATTGGACTAGATTTGTAGATTTTTTTAGGCCAGAAGGGACCATTAGATCACCTAGTCTGATCTCTAGTAGATTGCAGACCAGAGAAATTCACACAGTTACGCCTGTGTCAAGCCCAATAATTTGTCTGACTAAATCATATCTTTTAGAAGACATCAAGAGCAAGAGAGTACATTTCCCTTGATAGTTTGTTCCAATGGTTAATCACCCTCACAGTTAAAAAATTTGCGCCTTATTTCCAATCTGAATTTGTCTGGCTTTAACTTCCAGCCATTGGGTCTTGTTCTGCCTTTCTCCATTAGATCAAAAAGGACTATTAGTACCCAGTATTTTCAACCCTAGAAGGTATTCATACATCATAATCAAGTCACCTCTCAATGTTTTTTAATTATTATTATTTATTAAACAGATTGTGCTCTTTAAGCCTCTCACTGGAAGGTATTTTCTCCAGTCCTTGAATAATTTTTCTAGCTCTTTTCTGCACCCGCTCCTCTTTTTTCAATATCCGTTTTAGCATGTGGACACCAGACCTGGATGCAGTATTCTACTATCAGCTTCATCAATGCTGTAAACAGAGATAAAAATCACCTCCATACTTTCCTGTTTATACATCCAAGGATCATATTAGCCCTTAGATGTATAAATGGACCACAGATCTGATCTGGTATTGTATGTTTGAATGCCAATTCTAAAATTCTACTGAATTTTAAGATACCCAGAATCCCATAGCCAATAGTTAGGTCTGGTAATGAACAGGGGTGAGAGAATTTTTTCTTGAAGACACTGTTTACCCTTCCAGAGGATTCATCCAACTTTGATTCCTCTCTCCCTTTTATTGTTGGGCTGGTTTGGAATGCTATGCACCACTTGACCCACATATGCTCTGTAAAAGTTTATAATTTATTCTGATCTAGTGTGATTTTTTTTCTCTCTTCTTCCACAATTTCATTAGAAAGTGTTTTTTATGTTGTGTATATTTAACACACATCTATATTCCTTGCTTTTCATGTTCCTTTCTCAGGTTATTGCTTCAAGTTCTTTCAGGGTTAAACAAAGATGTCACCTGCAAATCTGAAGTGGTTCATGTACCATTTTTATCTTTATGCACTTTTCTTCAGAGTCCAGCTTTTTGAATGTGTTCTCCAGGCAGACGGTGAAACGTTAAAGATAAGTGAGTGTTTTCTTGTGTAACTTCATGCTTGTCAAGCTTAAATAGTATTATACTAGTTGTATAAATGTTTCAAGAATTCTTTGAGGTCACATGGAACTTCTAGTTTTTCTTCAAGTACTTCTAAAACTCTTCCTTAACACCAAATAGAGGAATTTCCACTATCTACAGCAGCGACTCATTGCATTTGGCAGTCTTCTCCAGAACTTGATTCATTGTCAGCAGCCTGCAGATGCTGTATGGTTGGGAGATTACTCACCAGCTTTTGTGTTGATTATAGGTCAGAAATCATTGTGGTCTGATCCCCGGACCTCAGATTGACTTGTAGAATGCAATAGTTCTTGGATTTATTTGTTTTTCTTCTTCCTCTAATACTAAGCTTGCAGCGTTCCAGTTTTAGGCTAAAGCATATTGGAGCCGACCCTGTGAGATACTCAGTGCTTCCAGTTCCCATTGAAGTCAAACCTAAGGTGCTTAAGTATTAAACTGGTACATTGCAAAATTAATGTTAGTGACTGTTTTGGGAAGCATCCTAATTTAATTTTCACAGAATTTCATCATAGGATTCCCGGCACTAGATGTTTATAATTCCCATAGAGAACCACCAAACCTACGTCTGGGCTTTTCTTATTTTAGTTTCCATAGAGACTGTAAATATCAATTTTACCTAGTAACCACATCACTGAAACTATATTGCTCTTCATGTAATTTAGTTTTATTGTTTCAGGATCATGGAGAGGACAGTAGTGTATAAATTATTTTTGTGGTGAAACATCTATTTATAGCTTTTTTTACTCCTTTGTCTACAGGTAATAAAATGGAAAACAGTTAAACACACATTAATCATCCCAGCTGTGTTGTTTTGAGTTCACAGCGTAGGCTTTAAATCTAGACACTTTGACTCCATAAACCTCCATCTTGACTTACTCTCCTTGCATCCAAGCCAAGCAACAATAAAAGACAGGGTGAACTAAATTTGGAACAGGGAATGAAGGCTTTGTTTAAAAATGTTACTAATAACTTTGCCAAGTCAGCTGTGGGGACGCTGGCTCCAGTTTCTGATTATGAAGGATGCTATCTGGTGAGGTAGAGTTTGGGTAGGTGTATTCTGAAGTTGCCAGGCAGTGGCTGATCAAACAACAGATTTATAAGCTATCTTAATTTCTCTTTTTTCTGTGCTTTTTACAGCATCTTTTACTATTTTACTTCATTGTCATAAATGTAAAGCAGCAAAGATCAAATTAGTCTTGTCCTGTGTTGCAGGTTTTCTAGTATCATTATTGTTTATCTAAGTAACAAAAAAGACCCAAACAAACTCAGTGTTGATCTACTAACTAGTCCTAGCTGCTTTTATCAGATTCATCTAATTGATTTAATATTGTTAGCTTCCAAAAGCTGGCATTAGAGAGTAGAAGATGAATATTATGTAAATGAAAATCCCATATCTGGAACTCTAAGGTATTACACTAGTAAACTGTGACTGTCTTGGGCTGGGAACATGAACTCACCAAAAGGAAGATGGGGCTGATTGCTACCCAGCAGAGTCGCCAGTACCAGCCTGGAGTGAAGCCCAGCATTTCCTTCATGTCCCTGCAAAACTGGTTGATGCCTATGAAAATAAATGGAAGGTAGAGGTGACAGGGAGAAAAAAGTTATTCAAACATTGATATAGCCAGGAAGTGAATTTAGCATCCAGCAGGAAACAGTGTGGTCATGTCCCTGCAACCTTTTCATTACACAGAAACCTCCATTATCCAAAGTCATTCAGTGTCTCCCAGCACATCTGGAGATCAAGATTGTACTGTGCTTACATGACAAAGTAACTGGTAACATTGTTTTCAGATTCAGTAATCCGTAAATTGCTTTTTCTATGTGACATCAGTGCCCCTGTCCACAGAGCTGGCAGAAACACGATTCAGCAAATGCCCGGGAGTCTGCTCAGCATGGGTTGTAAGTGCGTGAACAATCTTACCATAGAACCAGGCCACCGCAATGGATTCCAGAAACACCACCGTTAGGACAGCAGGGCCTGTAGCATATTCTTCAAACAGCTTCACTACATATGCACCACCCTAGAAAAGAGATTGTGGCACTGATTAGCCAAAATCCCCAGAACAGAAGTTTTGTACTACTAGTCAACCTCCCTGGTCCCTCAATTACAGACCTAAAATTCGCAATACTCCAATAAAAAAACTTCAAAAACAGACTCCAACGAGAAACTGCTGAATTGGAATTAATTTGCAAACCGGACACCATTAAATTAGGCTTGAATAAAGATGGGGAGTGGATGGGTCATTACACAAAGTAAAACTATTTCCCCATGCTAATTTTTTCCCCTACTGTTACTCACACCTTGTCAACTGTTGGAAATGGGCCATCCTGATTATCACTACAAAAGGTTTTTTTTCTCCTGTTGATAATAGCCCACCTTAATTGATTAGTCTCGTTATAGTTGGTATGGCAACACCCATTTTTTCATGTTCTCTTTGTATATATAGCTTCCTACTATATTTTCCACTGCATGCATCAGATGAAGTGGGTTTTAGCCCATGAAAGCTTATGCCCAAATAAATTTGTTAGTCTCTAAGGTGCCACAAGTACTCCTCCTTCTTTAGTCATATACTGTCCTCATTTGGAAAGAGAGCATTCACCAGTGCAAAATTCACTCTATCCCATCACTTCCTGCCTGCTCTGGCCTTGAGTAATACTTGACAGTACTAATAACTTGTCCAGTATCCTTGCTTTAACTTTCTGTGATCATCCTTTGCCAATAGAACGGTCATGCAGAAAAACTGAAAGGGAAGCAGCGGGCACTTCTAGTTGGATTTTAATGAGCTAATCAGATGGGATCTGTGCTTTTCCATGCCCTCCTTTGATGGCAACTTCCTTCTCTGTCCCTGAGCATTAGTCACTGAGCAGGAAACAAAGGCAGCATTAGGTTCTATTCTTTCCTCCTAGATCTGGACTCAGCTACAAAGAAAGAGAATTGCATCTTCTACAGGAACCTGGCTCCTTGTAAATACTTTAAACCAGGAGGGAATTTCTCATAAAACAAACAGTGGAATGTAAAAGCCAGTGAATTTTCCCCCCACATCTTTTACAAAAGCTGACCTCTTAGTACCAATTTGTGGTCCTGTTACAGCCATGAAGCCCCAATGACTAGACAGAGGTTGCACAAGTGTAACTCAGAGCAATATTTGGCCTGTATGAGAGAAGGAATATGTAAGTGCTGCAGATTCACATGAGCCATTATCCCGTGCCAGGAGCTTCTGGACTCCAGTTCACTAAATTCCATTTATGTTAGTTTCTAGAACAGGATTTTTTATCCAGGCTTCTCTTGATTTGAAATTTATTTCTAACCCTTTGAAAATTAAACTGATCATTTTTAAATTTGTAAAAGCTTGGATTTTGGGTGCAGGTTTGAAAGGTTAAACAGCTGGAATGTACCCGCTTAGTGGTGTAGTACCAGTCTGGGCAGTATTTGTGTGGTTTATTATGTACTGCATACTGGAACTTTGTCAAGTTACAACACTGTCAGATTCCCTCATGAGTGCGACTGCTCATATTCATTCCACCGACAGTCTCTGACCCCATAAGGAAAACAGCTCCTCTCCACTGGACTAAGAGCATTTCACATATTTGATGAGACTCCTTGAGATTCTGTTTGGGAAACACTTCCCTCCTGCAGATGTCAGCGAGAGCCTACTGCCAAAAAGCAAGGTTCACAATGTTGGATGCGGTACTTACGAATGTCAGGGTTGTTAATGACCCCAGGAAGCAAGCGATGATCAGACCAAGGACAAACCATTCCCTGCGCTTTCCCCAAACATGTGGGAATTCGTCCAGCACCGCAGTGATCACCCCCTCCAGCCCTGCAAACTGAAAAGTACAGCAAAGAGTCACAGAAAGAAAGAAAGCATCCTTCGCATCCTGCATTCCCCACACACACCCCACAACTGGTGTACACTGACAATGTACATCCGCATAGCTGCATCTCTCAGGCATGTGAAAAACCCACACCCTCAGAAAGCCAGAGCTACAGTGCTTCTGTCAACCTAGCTACCACCTCTTGGGGAGATGGGTTACCTGCAACGATGGGAGAACCCCCTCGGCTCACTGTAGTGAATGTCTACACTGAAGCACTACAGCTGTGCCGCTATAGTGTTTTAAGTGTAGACATACCGTAAGATACAATTAGGACAATGAACCTTTGGCATGTGTCTGAGTGATAGGATTGAAATGAGTGCTCTGGAAACATCCCCATCACGTCTTCAGAGATCTTGAACTCTTTAGGACAGGGATTTTGTCTCATATGTGTGGGAAGTGCTAGCACATAACAGGAACTACCATATTACAAATATAATAAATAATAAGTAAATGGCTCATTGTAGCCAAGACTATGAAGTCAGTGGAGTTGATTTTGGATTGAATTTGGTCCTTAATCTGCAAAAACTATGTGGCAAAATCTTTATGGCACGTTGCCCAACTTTGAGAAATCCACCTTCTGTTCCCACCTCCTAAATCCTGTTACCTGTGAAAAATCCCAGAAACATGTCACTCATTTGCATGTTGACAGGTAATTAAATGCTTCCAGTATACAAGAAGAGAGAGAGCATCACCTGCTGGTTAAAAGCCGGGTTCTAGAAGTTGAATATTCTGGGTTCTGTTCCCAGCTTTGCCACTGACTCACTGTGTGACTTTGGGCAAGCCGTTTAATCTTATTGTGCCTCAGTTTCCCCACTTTTGAAACAGGGATAATAAATACTATTCTCTGATCCAGGGATTATAAAGATTAATGAATGTTTGCAATGCATTTTGCACTTATTTAGCACCCTTCTTCATCCAAGGACCTCTAAGTATTAGTATAGTTGCTCTATTATTAAAAGAAGAGTTCATGTTTTAATTCTGCAGATTTGTTTTGGAACATGCTGGAATAATTCCAAATGCTTAACCCCATCCATCCATTCATGGCCCCTCTCACTAATGATATCCACTCACCGTGCTGTCTAATCCCAGAGTGAGTAACATCAAGAAAAATATGATAGCAAAAAAAGTCGAAGCAGGCATGTTTGCAATGGCCTCTGCGTAGGTAATGAAGAGAAGGCTGGGCCCTGGTACCAAGAGGGAGAACAGGCAATTATTACAGGTCAACCCTACTGCTCTGAAAAAGAGGAACCATTTCACTCACACCTGGAAATGCCTTTGTCCACAGGGGAGTATTACCGTATGTACCCACAGTAAGGTTCACTAGGTGACATGTAACATGATTTCTACATTCTTTTCTCTTCATAGAACAATTTTGGAGCTGTGTTACACACCATATGCTGCTGATTGGTTTATGTTAGGGCCTTTGGCATAAAGTACTATGATTAATCATAGTATATACAAAACATTATGCGTAGTTTGGAGTGTTTGTCCAGGCCAGAGTCTTTCCCCTGATCCTGAATTTTAAATGGATTACATGGTCATGTTTGGGTGGTAAGAATATCTCCCCATCTGGAATGTAATCAAACAAGTTCTATCAAAACTTCAGAGGAAATTTAAGACAGCAATAGAATAAGTTCCCCTACCAGTATCTTTAGCAACCTCCGACACCTCTTCATTCCTCATTTCAGCCATATATCCAAGCACAGTGAAAATGACAAATCCAGACACAAAACTAGTCATGCAGTTCACTGTACTGGTAACCAATGCATCCCTGGAAGAGAAAACCCAATGCATCTTAGAGAGTGAACATCTGCCAGAAAGAATGGTGTATTGCCAGAAGGCACAGTATTGAGTTTGAACTATCGAGACCACCTGGGAGCATGTTTCAATACAGCCCTTCAACTTTCCAGATTGTATAAATGCTGATCCATATATGTTAATATGTGAGGATGTGTTGGGAAAGACCTCAGGAAAATTAAGGTTCTGTCTTTGCATGGATGCTAAAAATCCCATAGCATTTTTCAGAAGAGTATCTTGCATCTGAAGAAGTGAGGTTCTTACCCACGAAAGCTTATGCTCCCAATACTTCTGTTAGTCTTAAAGGTGCCACAGGACCCTCTGTTGCTTTTTACAGATTCAGACTAACACAGCTACCTCTCTGATACTTCAGAAGAGTAGTAAGGCTTTGTCTTGGTGTCCTTAGCTACATTTTATTCTGACTTGCTGGTTGTCCACCTGTCTGCTGTTTTACTCCAAAGGCAGCTGCATTTCACTGGTGAAATGATCACTGGACTGATATGTACTGGTAGTTTTAAAAACATTTTGAGATGATCACGGACCACGCTTCCAGACCCATTGATAGTGCCCATTTAGCAGTTACCAGTATGATGCAGCCTGAATCTCTAAAGGTTGTACCCCAGCCCTGTTGATGTCCTGTCTTGTCTTGGAATGAGACAAGGTGTGTCTCTCCTTTATGCCCAGCAAATTGGGGCACTACAGATTTGTCTGTTGATATATTGGTTCTCTTTTGGATAGACTTTTGAATTGTCCAAGGAAGAACTTCAGACATTTCATTCAACATCTGTTTGGCTGTCTCTGTTTGGCTGCATACCAGACACACCACACCAATCTGATTAATACTGGATTCGGAATGATATAGTAATAGCTTTAGAGAGAATGATGATTTGCAAGTTTAATTTCACAGGACATAATAAACATCCTTAAGAAAATAAGGAAACAACCACACGGAGCCCTTTACCAAGTTATAGCTGATCTGGTTGCAGTAACTAAATATTGTTACAATCTGATGGCTGTTCTGTGGTGGATTCAGTCTACCTGTTGGACAGGTGTCTGCATCACAACCTCGCCTCTATAATTAATTGCCCCCCTTATGGGCAGTTTCAGCAGAGATCAAGAATTACATGGGTTGTAAACTGTTTGGGGAGGGACCATCTTTTTGTTCCATATTTGTACAGAGCCTACCACAAGAGGTCCTGGTCAGTGACTGGGGCTCCTAGGTACTACCACAACACAAATAATTAATAATTATTAATAATTGACTAGACATGGAAAGCAAACTCCCAACTTGCCTTGAGGTGGGGCACATTGACTGGGTGTGATGTGAGGGAAGATTGCTCTGATGCTAAAGGGAATGTACCTATTCTGCAGATAGAATTCATCCTACAGGACTGACAACCCGGCAACTTTCACCAGCATTACGTTTCTCTTTAAAAAAAAAATACCCAGACTGTTTACATTCTAATACCATTCTTTTATTGACTATTTCTTACACTGAGGTGGAACTCACTGGTAGCAGTTGTTGTGGAATTTGTTGTAGCTGGCAAAAGCTAGTAGGACCCCAAAACCTGGACCAAGAGAGAAGAAAATCTGAGCTGCAGCATCCACCCAGACCTGAAAAACGTAAGAGGCAGAGGATCAAGAAAGGATGATGTTAAACATAGAGCAAATGCCACTCTACAGTCCACTGATGCTGCGAATTAGATTCAACAGCCTGTATATAGTCTAGTCCTATTTTAACAAACATTTGATTAAGAGCTTGTTACATGGATCAAAGATTTTGTGCTGAAGTGTGACAAATACTTTTGTAGTTTTATGACAGAGGCAAATACCCAGCACAGTGAGGCCATCATACTTATTTTCACTTGTGGCATAATTAGGATTTATCCTTCGAGGAGGTCACCATAGGTGAAATGCTACCCCATTTCTATACACAACACAGTAAATATTCAGTAACAGTGGCAGCTATCAGTGTTTCACCCTTGACAGTATCCTAGGTTGACAGATGGCAGTCTTCCTGTAGCACATTGTTTTTGCATTGTAACTGTGCCTTTGTAATGGGTTTGGCCTGTCTTCCTTCCTCCAGGGTCTCTGTGCAGAAGGACATCTGGAGTGCATTGCCCCATGTGTGTCTCTGGGCGAATGTCCTCTGGGCTAAAGCACTGTGGGATTGCTCCCTGGATTGATCCAAATACATTTGGTGGCGTAGGTACAACTCCAGCTGTGTGAACACAACTCAACCATGTTGTAGCCATGTCGGATAAAAGTGCGATGACCTGGTTACAAAAACACTCTGCTACACTGGTCGGAGTCTTACTGAGTGGTGTCTCCAAACTGTTGATCTCTGTTCCATCCCTGAAAGGAAAAGTCCTGGTTCCTTTATTCCCTCTTGATTGCAACATGGAGTTCACTCCAGCTCATTTCTAACATGCTCCTTCTGTGCAGCTAGCCTGCACCTCCCCTGGATAGAGCTCTGCTGCCAGCCAGCGCACAGATTGCAATCTGCTGTGCTCACTTCAGATATATTCAATACAATACCAATATCCTTTATTGCTTTTAGGAAGATGTGGTTCCTTATTGGAGATGCTGCTTTATCAGAAAATGGTGTCTCTTCATTTCCTCTTCATTGAAAACTCTTCATATCAGCTGGGAAGCTGCAGACTCACAAACATTAGAGTTTGTAATCTTTGTATTTGTTGTATTTATTGCTTTGGGTTTTTTCCATCTCCCTCCCCATTAGCGACTTTCACGTGTAGTGAAGCAAACGCAGTCAACAGCCTGATGGACTGAGTGCCTCTTCCACACGGGTTCAAATCTAAACCAGACACTGGGTTGACGTGTTGTTTTGTTTTATTATGGTCTCGTCCCCATACCTGCTCTCTCTCCTAAAGTTGGTAGTATTTGTAGGCCTGTGTGGTGTATTCCCTCTCTCCACACATTCACACCGCCTCAGCTGTCATCACTTCATCAGGCTTAGTGTGTTGAGTCTGATAGTCTTCCTGCTGTCCATGTCTGCATGGAGTATGTGGGAGATTGGCTGGAAAGGAGGGTCTCTTCGGGCTCATCTGCCAGAGCTTAGGGACCGATGGCTTGAGTTTTTTCGGTGGTGGCAATATGCACAATTCTGAACTGCAGGCACTGAGTCCAGACACCTGATAGTGGACTCCATTGAAGGTGATTTAGCCCATTCCAACATCTACTGATTACCGGCAGTCAGCTGAGCTACAGGGTATCCCACTAGTTTAGATTAAGGTTAGCTAGCAGAGTAGGACCAGAAGCAGTAACAGCTTGGTTATCTCTACCTTCCCTAATGGTTACAACTGCAAAAAACTTTGTACAAAGATTTAAAAGAATTGGAGTTCAAGGTTAAGCTTCAGAATCCATAAGCACCTATTTACTATGCTGACAGTAGCCTTGTTCTGAAAAGTGTACAAGTTTACAGGCTGAAATCAATTGCCCCTTTACAACAAGTTCCTTACCTCAGTGGCCAGGAGTTTCTGCCAGTCAGGCTTCAGGTAGAAGACAACCCCCCTCCAGGCTCCAGGCAGTGTGGCCCCTCGTATTAACAGGATAAAGAGTATGATGTAAGGGAACGTGGCAGTCACCCACACCACCTGTTAGAGAAAACATTAAGACAGTGTTTGCCATGGGTACTGATTGAGGGAAACTGCTAAGTGGTGATAATGGTAACCATGTCGAATGAACAGTAATATTTAGTCTTATAACACCTTTCATTCAAAGTTGTCAAAGTGCTTTACAAAGACAATTACGTATTACTATACTTTAAATGAAGGAGAAAATATAGCACAGAGTAGTTAGATGACTTGCCCAACATCCTGCAGTGAATCAGTAGCAGAGCTAAGAATTGAACCCAGGAGTCCAGACTCCTACTCCCCTCCTCTTAACAACTAGGTCACATTGCCTTCATTAATGCCACCCAGGTCACCATTTATGGTGTGTTAGCTAGTTTATTCAACACCATAGGTCTGACTGCCCTACTGATAGTTATGCGTTCTCAGAGGCAGTCAGCTCCAGCTTCTGAATCCAGGTTTGCTGTAGCTGTAGTCAGAAGACAGACGAGTTGCTTAATTTTATACCATCTGTGTGCACGACCGCCGCCTTTTTTCATCTGAAAAGGGACTAACCTGGTTTAGCAGTTAGAGCTGGGAATGGGAGTCAGACTCCTACAATCCATTTCCAGCTCTGCTGATCAATAATTGTCCAACCTTGAATAAGTCACTGCAGCCGGAATTTTGAGAAGTGTCCACAAATGTTGGGTGCCTAACCTGGGACCCTTAGGCCCAGATTTTCAGAGCTGCTGAGTACTCACAACTCCAGATGAGGAGATTCGGAAATGCCAAGCTCAGCACCCCTGAAAGTCAGGCACTAACTGTCTCTGAAATCAGGGCATTCAGAAATCCGGGCATGCAGAATTAGCTGACCCTTCTGAAAACCTTGGTCTTAACCTTCCTGCACTGCAGTTTCCCCTTCTGTAAAATGGGAATAACAACACCAGTCTTTGTAAGATCCTCACATAGGAGGTTCTGTGTCAGTGGAAAGATTTATTATTATGGTACTTATTATTTGTAAATGATTGTGTATTAAGCAGCCCTATTTTGGTAACATGGCTTGCTCTGACAGCAGATAGCAAGGCCCATCTGTAGAAAAAGAAACAATGGAACTGAGGCTCAACAGAGCAGTAATCGGAGATCACCCTCCACACCCATTAGATCCCCTGGGTAGGATGATCTTTAAATGCAGAACAGCAACCCAACATGCTGTTAGCATGTGTTATATAGATTACAGTAGACATGTACGTGAATTTGCAGTCCCTGTCCTGAAGACAATTCTAAGCTTACTTTCTCTCATGTTAATAGGCTGCTCCAGACATGTTGCAGAAATTATGCTATACCAAGCAACTTCCTCTTGCTTTTGCATTCACCTTGCCAGATGTTTTGACCCCTTTCCAGATGCTGAAGTACACAATAGTGAATATCAACAATAAGCAGAGTGTCAGTTGCCAGCTAATGCCTCCCAGATCATCCAGCCCTTTGGATCTTTGCACCTGTAGAATGTGGCGGCTAAAACAGGAGAGAAAAGCACATTGTTGCTGTTTGTGTAACAAATACAGAGAGTGCTTAGGCTCTAAATCACGAGAGATAAAAGACACCCCCATCCTACACATCCCCACAACTGCATGCATTTTAATCCCTAGACAGTTTTAAAAAACCCATGCATGTGATTGATAAATACCCCGGTCACCCTCTAAAGAAAAGTCTGCTGCATTTTCTACCCTTCTTTCTGATATTGCTGTCTCCACTTACATGCACTTACGTATAAAATTCTTCCGCAGGGGAGATGGAGTGTGGGGTCCAGGTAATGCTGGCATTGGTGAAGTAGTTGGTGCAGTTGACGGTGTTCCAAGCATTTTTGCAGCTGGTCCATGGAAGCTCTGACGTGAAGGATGAAATGAGGTAGTAGAGGGCCCAAGCCATGATGGTATTGTAGTAAGAGGCTATGTAGAAAGCTATTACGCAGATAGTAAAGCCAATTCCTGGTAAGGCAGAAAACAGTTATGTGAGTGGAAATGTGAGGGCCAGGTCCAGTAAAAGCAGGAGTGGATAATCCACGTGAAATCAGTAGCTGCCGGAGGCATCCAAATAGGTACACATACACCATTGCCTCCCTTTATATTTTTTTAGACTGCTCTGGAAATTTGTGGGGTCTTCAGAAAGTGGGGGTGATTTGCCCAAGCCCCACTTCAGAAAAGCATCCCTGTTCTGAGCAGAACATGTGTAAATGCTAGCCTTATTCAGGCCCCAGTCTCTGGAATGTTGACTGTGATGCATACCTCATCCTCCACACCCCTAACAACAAACCAACCAACCAAAACAGAACAAAATCTAACTCTGGTACTGGGAGCAAGGATAACAAGTCTGTAAAAGGCAACTATAAAAGATCCTCTAGTATCACTGCCAGTAGAGATGGCTGAGAGAAATGGAATGGAGCTGAAGGGTAATTTGTTTAAAAGATCTCTGGGATAAAAATAATGGATTTGCAATATTTTCCCCAACCTGTGTTTCTAATACCATTTCAAATATTAGAACTGGAATAATTTTGAAAGTTCAATTTACTTGCACCCTTATAATGTTCTCTGTATGGTTTTGCATTTTTTTTCTGGGTTGGGACAGTGAAAGTAGAGTGGGTTGTTTCTAGTCAGTTTCACTCCCTGGTCTTCAGATTCTAGTAGGAGGCTGCATCCTTTGGATTGGAAAACAATTAGGGCAACGTTTATGTATATAAAACAACTTGATATTGCTTTTTTAAAAAGCACATGACTTTGAAAAGTAATTAATTCTAGGTTTCATGAAAGCTTTTCTTACATAACCTAAATGTGGGCCCTAAACCACTTGACATTAACCCTTCACGTTATCTCTTATTTTCAGTAATTGTTCCACCCTTAAAGAAAATCTCTGCCAGTTACCCTAAGGGATCATGGTAAGCTTCCTGTTCCCCTTACTACCTTTGAAAATAGGACAAATTTTCCTCCAAATTGAGATACACCCATTCCTGTGGTACTGTCCCAGTGCTAGCTCCATGTAAAAGAGGGGGATGCCTCCAAAGATGGCCATGATGGTGTACGGGATGAGAAACGCTCCTGCAAGGAAGAAAGGACATGACTGTAACTTCTTGTAGTACTTCTGGTGTAACAGTATCAGCACTTCATAAAGAGCAATTCTTCATGCCCCACAGCCAATACACACCACACTGCACTACGACAGTAAAACCTATGTGACCCCATGGTCTCGAGAGGCCAGTCCAGACAAACTTTCTGTAATGTCACAGGACTTGTGGGTTTGTTCCTGAAGGGAATCCTGTGACCCCTTTACTCACATTGGTGAGCAGTTACTCACATGACTAGTCCCATCATCTTCAATAGGATTACTCATGCGAGTGACGGCTCACCACTGTGTGTGGCACCTATCTGTCTCGAAAGACAATGCCATAAGCACCAAAGCAGTTCAGTTACTGTATGTCAGGCTGGAGTATCATTAATGGCTAAAAGTCCAATTCTCAGGTGCCACAGGTAACGCTCACCACTGTGAGGAAGTCATAATCTGGCTCTAAGTTTCCAGTGGAATGAAGTTGTGAACTATTGTAAGATTGTCTCCTAGCAGGCACCGTCAACAGTACTATTCCCAGGCTTCTGTACCCAAACATACAGGGAATTCACAAAGATTTTATTGGCTACCATGGATGCAGCAGCAGAATGGGGCAAAAGATAAAAGAATTTCTTCCTCTGGTACAATGCCTAGGTGCATTAAGGGGATATAGGTCCTTCTTCAGCGCACTCACTGGTTACAATCATTGTTTGCTTGTACTGAGCACCTGTAGCATTGACATTTTCTGGTATATTGGTTAGTCTGAATTTAAATGTTTCTGGGAGACTGTTCCACAGTCCAACTGATCTTAGGGTCAGGATGTTTTGCCTAATCTTAATTCTACATTTTCGTTTTCTTATTTTCATCCCATGCATTCCAGCTATACTGGATCTTATCTTGCATCATTCTAGATAATTCCTCTTCCACCTTTGTGTTTATAGCCCTCATCTATTAGTTGATGCATATGTCCCAGCAAACCTTATCTGATTCTAGACATATTTTGCTCTTTTAATCTATCTCATAAATACTGCCCTACCAAGTTCACGGCCATGAAAAACACGTCATGGACTGTAAAATCTGGCCTCCCCCCGTGAAATCTGGTCTTCTGTGTGCTTTTATCCTATACCATACAGATTTCATAGGGTAGACCAGTGTTTCTCAAATTGAGGGGCCAGACCCAAAAGGGAGTTGCAGGGGGGTCACAGTATTGCTACCCTTACTTCTATGCTGCCTTCAGATCTGGGCAGCCGGAGAGCGGCAGCTGTTAGCCAGGCACCCAGCTCTGAAGGCGGCACCCTGCCAGCAGCAGCACAGAAGTAAGGGTGGCAATACCATACCATACCACCCTTCTGTGCTGCTGCCTTCAGACCTGGGCGGCCGGAGAGTGGCAGCTGTTGATTGAGGGCCCAGCTCTGCAGGCAACAGCACAGAAGTAAGGGTGGCAATACCCATACCATTCCGTCCTTACTTCTGCACTGCTGCTGGTGGCAGCTCTGCCTTCAGAGCCGGGGTCCTTGCCTGCAGCCACCACGCTCCAGCTGCCCAGCTCTGAAGGCAGCGCCACTGCCAGCAGCAGCACAGAAGTAAGTGTAGCATTACTGCAACACCCTCTACAATAACCTTACAATAACCACACACACACACACACACACACACACACACTACTTC